ATCAGAACAAACAACGGCGATCAAATTCCGTCGAATGTTTTTTTAAAGACGTAGAAGAAAAAAAAACGATAACGGATGCAAGAAAAAAAAAAAACTTTGCATTCAAAATTAACTCAGTTGAAACGTCATCAAACCAAATAATTGATTGATTAAAATTCTGCGTAAAAAAAAACTATACTATTTGTTCATCTCAACTTTTGCTCTCCGATTTCCCAAGGAAAGAAAAAAAACACCAACTAAAATTTTTCTATCAAAGATAAATAATGAAAAAAAAAATTTATAATTGAAAAAAATTTCAATGAAAAATAAAACTAATGCATAGTACAAGAATTCACTCGAGACATCGGATGTGGATATGAAAAAAAAAGAATTCATCTGTCTTATTATGCTTAATCATTTTAATATTGCTCATCTGTAACGATAAACGTCAAACAAATAGTTTTAATTCTAGTTTTGAAAGTTAATCATGGTAACTAGCCTTTGACGCACGTCTCAACATTTATTATTTAGTGTCTATCTACAGAATTAATTCTGAAGCACGAGTCAAGAAAGTGACATACACAAACTTTCCGAAAAATAGAATATTAAAATACAAACTAATGGTTTATCATTCTTTATATATTATGACAAATAATAATTTTTATATTTTCTTTTCATCATCAAAAATATCATCCTTTAACATATTCGATCGAAGAATACGAAAGAGTACATATAAATATAAAAAACAATTCGAAAAGTCCCATGTGACACGATCGTCAATTATCAAACGTTTAACAATTAGTCCGGCAAATATATATTTATATTATTGATTTCTTATATCGGCAAGTAATAAGAAACATCAAATAACATCTTGTTTAATTATCCAAATAAATATTAGTACTAATCGATATTACACAGAAAAAAGGGAATTCTATGATTCTATTATCTAGATAAAAATTTATTATAAATATATCATAAGATTTCTTTTTTTACCGTATCACCTATCATTTTAACTGATGCTCTTAGACATTCTGTGATGAATTATATCTAACGGAAGATTGGTAATCAATTAGCTAGATGCGTATTTTTTTTTTATATAGATACGTTACCCTCCAAAGACATCTCCATCATGAGCATTTTCCTTATATAGAACTTGAATGTCAATAATTTCTACTGAATATCATCTGGTATTTTTTTTTCTTCAATAATTAAAACATGTGCATTATCTTTTCATGAGTTTAGTTTTTTTTTGCAGTTATGAATATTTTAAATTTTTGTATTTATTCATTTAAAAAATTTTCCGAAAAAAGACTCGGAACATAATGACGTATTTGATCAGCAGTATACTCAATAATTTGAACATCATTTGCTTGCCAAATATTCGACATCTGTTCAACAAGTAATACAAATAATTGTAATCCAGCAATAATTCGTTGACGTAATGTATAATTTCCTGTAATTCCATATACAATACGACGAAGTTTAATCATTTGTGTATTGTCCCCTAAGGCTGATTCGATTTCAATAAAAGCATTATTATCACTGGATACTAATACACCACGTTGGAGCTGTATAACTTCTAATAAACCCCATGATAACCCATGGCATGCATTAAGTAAACGACCGACATCGTTACGTCGAAGACCCTCTAAACCTTTATTTGCTTCTTCACACCAACCAACCATTCGATGACTGGCTTCAAGATTAGCATGATTTTGTATCGGCATATCCCAAATAAAATTACGAGCACGAATTTGTAATCCATTAGTAAAAAAATCTTCACGATCTATAATGGCACGTGCTACTCGTATTCCTGCTATCCATTTCGTAGCTTGATAAGAATCAGTAAACCATTTTTCATATTCATCTGGTTCTACTGTTAATATATTAATAAGTATTTTTTTCTCATGTAAATGTGTTCCATCATCTGATAATTTTGCTCCAGAAACGACAAAACGTACAAGATCAACATCACTGTTTGGACCTGCTTCATTACGTGCATAGCTACCTGTAAGTATCAAGGCTTGGACGACATCTGGTTTGTCAAAACGTTGAGTAATTTTATCAATATCCAATAAAGATAAATGATTATTTTGAGTCATTTTCTATTCTAATATTTGATGCTTTTTTTATCTTGATCAAAAATACTTTTGCAATGCTTTATATAAAACTATCTTTCGTAATATTGTTTAAGATTGATGAAATTCTTTGTTTTTATCTTTTATTGTTTCAAAAAAAAAAAATACAAAACCAAAAACAATTCTCGTCATAGTTTTAATTGAATTATTACACACAAGTAAAAGAATTTTCAATATTAGTATTTAAATAATAAAGAAATTTCAAAAAACATTTTAAACACAAAATGTCGTTCAAAAAAGAAAAAAAAATCACTTGTCAACAATTTCAATCGTAAATGCATTTCGACAGTTACAATTGTGTTCATTCATGACCATTAACTGTTTGACAAAAAAGTTAATCAGTTAAAGAAATCAACATGTTCATGTATCGTGTCCATTACAACCTATGTATCAAAGTCATTTTAGTTCAATGTATGATCTACATATATTCAAAGTTTTTTCTTTTTTTACATTTATCTGAAAAAAAAACAACTATCATAAAGATTGCCTTTAATATTCATAACATTTGAATTCTATATCAAAAATGAAAATTCATTTTCCAAAGTGTTTTATTTTGAATAAATGTAGAATTCATTCAATTAAATTAATTGAATCTACTGCATAAAATTTCAAAGAAAATATTTTAAAAGTAAACATTCGAAAGTCAATGACGTCGAAGAGCAATTCGAAGTTAAACGAAAATTTTTCAAGATTGGAATATGGAAGACGGAGAGAGTCACTCCTGATGTTGTAATATCTTATTCTGATGTCTTAAAAAATTAGTTAATTTATTTCCAATCATTGAGTATTCTCACAACTGTCAACATTAATTTGAATATGCCTAAAGAATTTTTTTATCTATATTTCTTAATTAGAGTAACACTTCATTGTTTGATTTCTTATCAAAGAAAAAAAAAGCAGCAGCAGACTGATGATGATTACGTGACTTTAACGCTTTGTTACTTTTGTCATACTGTCATTTAAATAAAAAAGTAATAATAATAACAAATAATGTTGCCAGTTCTAGACCGGAAAGAATAATAATTGATCCGTTTTCGTCTTCTGTTTTCGGTTACATATTTCAAAAAAAAATTTTTTTTTTTAGGAAAAAGCTCAACCAGGTCATCCAAAAGGGATAAAATTGAACGTATGTTACGTCATTATTATTGAAACGAATTCTCTAGAGTATCATTCATCTCATTTTTACATATCGAAATGTGCAATAGAGCATAAACGAAAGATTAATCAATATATGGTGGCACCAGAAGTTGGTACACACAAGTGTGGTCATTGTTTATGAAAATGAATTTTCTCTCTCGTTCAACAAAAGAATAAAAAGATCTATTCCTATATTGAAAAAACACCTTAGTTTCTTTTTCTCTCATTGATTAAAAATCATCATGAAAATATATCATGAGAATCGATACAAATATCAGTTTTTTATGGTTAAGATTTGTTTGACAAAGAGATGATTTACTTTAATAAATAGATAAAAACATTTTTTCTATTTAGTAATTTCGATTCAATGAGATAAGTTCAACATCTGGTACATAGTATGTATGTAAAATAAGTATTAAGAAGGTTAAAACTGATTAGCATCTTCGATTTGATTGTCGATTAACAGTTGACTGTTGTATGACTGTTTTGAACACACAAACATCAGAGTAATGTATAAATGTGGTGTGAATTAATTGTGAATGAAATGACTATTGCTTTTATTGCACTTTTTCTTTTTTTTTTTGGATGACTTTGATTTTGTTTTTTGTGAACACATCTGTTCAACAACAAGGTGTGACGGATGACTTTTAGAATTAGTACCACCTCACTCATGCAATCCTTTTCATTTCTTTTCTTTTTTCTTTCTCTCTTGTTTCTCTTTCTCCTTCAACATATAACAAATGACATTATTATATGGACATTTCACCCTCTATATGCATTGTGCTATGCTCAATATTATGTGCGTTCATTTAACTTTATCTTTCTATATGTTTATAAGAGTAACAGGCAAATCTAGCTTTATATAAACAATAATATGAGTCTATCCTCTACTAAGAACGAAGAAAGAGACTAACACTTATTGAGGTAATCACTGAATAAATGTGCGAAGAGAGAGATTGATTAACTTGCCGATCTCTATCTTCATTGCTTTATTATTCTGTTTAAATAAGCTGCGCATTGCATATGTAAGTATGTGCATTACTCCTCCAACTATTCTTCATAAAAGAATTGCTAGATTATCTTGTGTAATAATATTAAACAATACTCATATTTGACTGAGTCAACTAATGACTATTGATCAGTTCACTCTTCATATAAGATCAATCTAACTTAATTCCGAAAAGTCAGATCTTTCTGCGTAAGCAAACGTAGGAACATTCTTCAGCCTTGTCATTACCCATGGCAATATACGTGTGTGCTGTCTTCTACTATCTTGTATTATTTTATTAAATGAACGTAAGTAAAAGCCCTTAGATGAAAATATGCCATTTTTTTGTAGTCATCGAATGACAACCACTGCTCACTTGATTTTTATTATCCTCCTCGAATATGTATACATTCGATCATTAAAAATTATTAATATCTTCCCTTTTTTTTTGTTACATAGATAAATTTATAAATCAAGGTATTCGATTAAATCAATGTAGTATACACAAGGTTCATGTCTTGTCTCTTTTTTTTTCTTTTTTTTTCTATATACGCATATTTTGGAAGGACGTAATTTAAGATATAATATATGTATGTATGCATAAATCTGCGCTATAAAAGTAATTGTATATTGAGCGAATGCATATATGCATATGATAGGATCTCCGTACATGTACAGATGTTAATCAGAAGACGTCTTTCAATCGCCATTTATTTATTCATTCGTTCTTCGATACGTTGTCTTTTAGTTTATTTAACATGATTTCCACTTATCGACGACAACTATCATTATTTATCATCGTTTATGTTATATTTTCATTGACAATTAAAATTGTCAATGCATTTGAAAATGGTAAACTTTTTTTAATATGATTTTTATTCTTATTTCTTTTTTATAAATTAGTTCATCCAAGAATCAATCAAAAAATACTTATTGGGCCACATAATATTAATGCACATCCAGGTGAAACAATACAATTGCCTTGTATTGTTTCGAAACAATTTGATGCTACTGTAACATGGTGTTGGAATGATTTTTGTACGTTAGGTAAAGCACAATTAGTTCGCCATGATACAATATATGATGGTCTGATAAGTATTTATCAATATGCTGCTTATCCAAGATTTCGATTACTTATCAATGAACGTCTTAGTATGTATAAAATCCATTATATTCTTGTCATGTACTCTATTAAAATAAAACTAGTAATATGAATAAATCTCATGTAGTATGTTTCATGCAACACTAATATATTGTTACTTTTATCATTTAACCGGAAGTACGCATTTATTTTTAATTATAGTAGCTATTCTTTTTCTTTTGTCTAGTTGATAATGGTTATATCTTCTTTTCTTATTCATCCATTATTTCTATTGTTGTTTCTTAGGAAGATCAATTTTAAAAAAAGCAAAAAAAGAAAAGAGAAGGAACAGGAAATATCTATTCATATAGAAAATAAAACAAAACGTGTGTCTGAATACAATCAATATTTGATTGACTTTCACTATGTAATTTTTATAAAAGCGACAAGTGTATTTGATGATGTAATACACTTAGATTATCTTATTTATGAATGAAATAAATGATTTAGTGAATCGTTTTTTTTTTCTTCTTTTTGTTTAGATCATTATAATCTATCGATTACTAATGTATCACATAAAGATGAAGGAATATTTCAATGTCAAATACAGAGAACAATGTATGCACATGAAGCACGTTCAGAACGTGTTCGCTTGACCGTTATTGGTATAAAAAGATGCTTGAAACTTTTTATTTTTATTGATTATTTTTTATTTTCATCTTGTTTGTTATTAGCACCACCTAATGATCAACCAAGATTATTACTACCAAATATGCCATTAAAACAAGGTCAATCAGCGAAAATAACTTGTGTATCATCTCCATCAAAACCAGCATCAAAATTAATTTTATATAAAAATGAACAAATTCTAACAACGGAATTATCATCTTCAACGTATATCTATGAATTAGATATAAATACAAATAAAAATTTAACGAAACTTATTTATACTATTAAAGATCCAGATAGTAGTTGGAATAATATAATTATAAAATGTAAACAAATTTATGAATTTACAAACTATTCTCAATTATATGTTACAGGAAAAATACAAGTTCATTGTAAGTCAATTAATAAAAGATACTCAAATTCTAAATGAAGTTTTTTTGTCAATAAACTTATGAACAGTGATATGTAGATTGCGGAAAGTATACGAAAGTCTCTCATAAGAGGTAGTGTAGAATTTCAAAAACAAAAATTTTCTAGTGTTATTGTCTAATAATAGATTATTTTTAATCGGAAGAAGGATTATACGTGCCTTCTTCCGTTTGTGCGGCGTCTATGCGTATGTAGTTCATTGAGGGTAGGCGCCATAAGTGATGAGGAAATGATTTTAAGTGTCAAATCACTTCTGATTCGAAACTATGTGTATCATATAAATTCTAATGAGATATTGTATTTTTATGGTATTTTTTATCAGAATACCATGCTCCTCTTCAGGAACATCAGAACAACTGAGTTTCGAATTTCGACTTGAAACTCTGTACAGAAAGTAGCCTTAATGCGAGTAGTTTATTGTGAAAGTTTCAGACTTTTTGATTGTTTCTATTCTGAAATGAGAACATCAGAATTTACTATTATATATGAACAGCATGAAAAAGATGCTATTATCATAGTCGTATCTTAGGATAGAAGCAATCAAAAGATAAAAACTTATACAATAAACTATTCTTGTTAAGGCCCATCTTCATGTGAAATTTCAAGTCGAAATTCGAAACTCAATTGCCACAGTGTTTTTCATGTGGGAGCGCATGGCATTGAGTTCAAAAAAAAAACCATAAAAATACAATATCTTGACAGTAATAAGGTATTATTTCGAACTCTTTTTAGAGTATTCATAGCATCATTAGAATCTACCTGATACACATAATCCCGACTCAAAAGTAATTTGACACTTCGAAACGTTCCCTCGTAGTGACTGCATTGTTCGACGCGTATCTACAAGATACTCTGTGCAAATGTAGTACTATCAACCATGGAATGAGCCTGAAAAGTCTTTAATGGTTGCTTCTCTTGGATATCCCGTATGATTTCATGCTGACTACGTTGTGAGATACAGCTAATCCTATGATTAATAAGAGTGTATGAGGAGCTCAAGCAATTAAGTGCAAGAGCTCTACGTCAGTCTGATCTCCTGTCCAAAGCTATAGGCAGTATTAGTTGTAGGGATGATATCAGAATACGAAATGTGCCACTAGATAACACTCTCTAATGCAAGGTAGTCGAATGACAGGGATGTTTTCTTCCTTCTTTCATTGAGAGATTTATTTCTAGATAAATGCATCGAAGTTTTGAATTGTATTTTGGGTTGAGTTTCAAGAAGAAAACTATTCGTTTAAACGAAAGAATAAAGTTTTGGTCAAGATGTGTTCTGTTTTATTTTAGAAATAATTCAAAGTTCTAATAAGATGGACTTCTCAGATAATAAATCATAAAACTTGTAAAGCTTAATTGTTAATGTTATTATTAATAATTTGATTTAGATAAACCAAAAGTTCGCATTGAATCTCAAAATCGTCATCCATTAACTGTTAATTCAACAGCAACATTTCGTTGTATTGCTCAGGGGAATCCTGAACCTCAATTTAAGTAAAATTTTGTTTTTTTTGCTTTATATATAGATTACTTGATCTGAAAAATTTCTTTAGATGGTTTGCTAATTCAATCGATTTATCATCATTAACAAGTTCAATAATTAACATTCCCTTATCAAAACATGTCCATAATCATTCAATTGGTTGTACAGCTATAAATTCAGTTGGCATGACAAATACAAGTATTCGATTATTAATTCGACGTAAGTATTTTTACATTTTTAAGATGGTCTTTCCTCTTGTCGAATTTTCTCAAAAACAATTTGGTAAAAACTTTTGTAACTTTCAGCACATATCGATCTCGATGATAGAAATTAACGTTGTCTAGACTTGAAATTTTCCAATACTTGTTTCGTATGATTGAAAAATTTTTCTATCGCAATTAGGATCAAATCTACACATGTGTGTACTCAAGACTGATGAGAATTAAATTACTGGAGGCACCACAAAAAGAACCCATTTAAAAGTGCTGTTTTCGAATGTTGTCATTTTTGTAAAATCTGCTAAAGTTTCAAAATATAATAGTTTCAAGAAAGAAAAGAAAATGTAGCCTAATTGGATTGAAGTACTCATAAGGAAAAAATTGCAACTTTTCGTTTGATAATCTGATTTGAAGAAAAAAGCACAAAGTTATATGTTTTGAGTTTTTAAGCATGAGATGCAGTTTTTTCAAGATTTTCATATGAAAGAAAACAGTTTTTGACTTTCTACAATGAATTTCTTGCGAGGAAACATCTAACTGTCAGACGGCGCTCGCTTCGATATTTTGACTTTTGCTAAGACTCAATGAAGTTGAGAAAACCCTAAACGACTTCTGGCTTATGTATTACCTAGCCAAAGTTATGATCGTTCTAATTGGTTCTTGATCTCAGGGTCAGCTATTCATAGAAAACTCAATTACGAGATTTTTATCTGGAACCTGTCGCATAGACAAGTCTCATAGTCAGTAGAATATCCTAAAAGTTTCAATTTAAACAAATGTATATTTCTTGAGATATCGACTGTCTAAGACAATTTAATTCCATGGCTTCTCTGCTAATATACAAACACTTGTTGCATACTCGATATTACAAGGAAAATACATTCGTTGAAGTTGAAAGTTTAAAGATGTTCTAGTGGTTATGAGACTTGTCTATGGAACGAATTTCAGATGACAATCTCATAATCAATTTTTCCATGAATAACTCACCCACATTGCTTAAAAACCTACTAGAATAGTCATAACTTTGGTTGAATGACGCATGGATTCAAACTAATTTAGGATGTTTCTTAGTTTCATCGAATGTTACTCATAGCCAAAATATGGAGTTAAACAGTGTCCAACAGTTGGATATGTTCCTGCGTGTTAGATCGAGAGCATTTAAAAATCTACATACCGAGCATAAAAAGTAAAAAACTGAAAACTTTCAGTCGAGATAGCGAGAATGATCTTTTGAAGTGTTTTTTGTATTTTTTATTTAATATTTTTCATGTTGCATAGATCCGCCCGTATTGATTATTCGTCCACCAAAATTTGTTACCTTGAATTTGGATAGTAAATCATCATCAAATCCAACAGTACTTCGTTGTATAGTTGATTCATATCCTCGTGCAAAAATTACTTGGTATCGTTACGGAGAAATAATAGCTGAAGGTTCATTATTTAATCTAACAAATATAACTAAACGAGAACAACAAGGAATTTATTCATATCATATTGAAACAGATGGTTTTGAACCCATAAAAAATGATTTTATTATTTATATCAAAGGTATTTAGAACCTGTTTGCTTTTTTTTCTTCTTCTTTAAGAAAATTTAGATTTTTTTCTAGGTAAACCATTGATTTATATTCAAGAATCAAAACAATATAATCGATTATTTGAATGTCAAGTTTATTCATCCAGTCCAATACTTGTACGTCAATTAAAATAAAAATAAAAATGATTTTTTTCCATTAATTATTTTATCTATTTAGAGAATAACTTGGAGATTAAATGATGAACCTATTGAATCTTCTGATCAATTATCTATATCAACTACATGCGATGATTATAGTTGTAAATCAAAATTAGTCTATGATTATCCTACAATAATTCCATCATCAAACTCTCTCAATCGTTTATCATGTATAGGAGAAAATGAATTTGGCATTGAACAAAGTCGTCTCTATCAAATGGATACATCGGATGGTACGGCAACAAAAAAATTCTTTTTTTTTTTTTTTCTTCATTATTTAGATTTTTATTTTGTTTTGTATTTAATTAGATCCAACTATTATTTTAGTATCAATTATATTAATTACATTGGGTTTAATAGTTATTTTCTCTATTACTGCTATTTTTTGTTGTTGTCGTGTAAGACGAATTCGAAAAAAACATAAATGTTTAAATAATAAAAAACTTCCTATTGTTTATGATGAACATTATTCAATTAATGAACTTATTAAAGAAGTTGGATCTTTAAGAACATGTAATAATTTAATGAATAATATCGACAGATTATCATTACAAATGGAGTCAACAGGTTAGTTTCTATCTTATTCTTTTTTTAAAATATTAAAATAAAAATAGAATCTATGAGAAAAAACAGGCTAAAACGCCAATATAACCGTTTTCGATTTGACTTTGATTCTTTTTTTTTTTAAACAAGTATTCGCTCTTTCAGCTCATACTTAATTAATTAAACCTCATTAGTAAAGAAGTTCAGGATAGATTTCATTTTAGAAATTGTATCTATAGTGAAACTTTTATCCAAATGGCATCTCCAAAATTGCCTCACAGAAAACTCGATTGCCTGAAGTTTACTATTATCCTCGAGTAAAATTTTCTGTTTTGCTGTCTTTTCCAGCTTTCTATGAATTATTTATACTATTTAGAATAGATTGTTGGACATTTAGTTATAAAATCATTTCTCCTTTCGATATTAAGATTTCTACGGATAATTTCTCAACTAATAAATCGCTTTTTTGTTGAGACTACGTACATTATGTAGAATCGAATGAGTTATGAATACATTGAAAATAATTAGTTCAAGCCCTTAGCTTACTATTTCTGAGATACTACACTTTTACGGTAGTTTTTAAATTCATACCGTGAACATCTCAGAAACACAAGGAAAGTTGGTTTTCGAATATCAACTTGAAATTTCGTTCAAAAACAGTCCTTAATGAAAATAATTTCTTGTGAATGTGTCAGATCTTTTCGTTCTTTCTATCTTAAGATACAGCTATTCTAAGAGTGTATTTTTTACTTCGTTTATATATATATAGATCAGTAGATTCAATGTTCTTATTTCAGAATAGAAGCAAATCAAAAGATCTGAAGCTTTCACAATAAACTACTCTCGTCAAGACTTATCTCTGCACAAAGTTTCATATCAAAATTCGACCATCAGGTTTTCTAGTGTTCGTGAGAGAGAATATGGTATTCATTTAAAACTACTCTAAATATGCAGTATCTAAGCAGCACTAATCTGAGAGTTTGAACTCTTTTCAGTATATCCAGAATTCATTTAGATATACATGATGCACATAGTTTCGATTGAAAAGCAATTAATCAGTACAAGAACTTCCCTCATTAGTCATGTGACTAATAATCAATAAATTAAATCTTTTTGCAAAATTTCAATCATTTCAAAAGAAACTTTTCGTAGACATTTTTGCATCCTGAAAAAGCTTGTTTTAAATGCATTATTTACTTTTCAAAAATACATTTTGGATCTTACAGTATTTGCAAATGGAAATACATGCAGTGGCAGGCTTTGACTTTCTTTTCATGTCATCTTGCTAACATCAGCTTCTTAATAATAACTCATCAGTATAAGCGTCTATGGAACTGAGATTTTCAGAGTATCTGAAGTAACTCGGCATACATCTGACACATAAAAATGAGCTGAAATAAGTTTTGTTTTCTTTAAAATCTATATTCTTAATGATTGTTCAAAAAAATTTTGTTTATTATTGTATTTGTATGCGATCTATATCCTATTCTCTAAACATAAAATATTTTCATAGACTAGTTTTTTAAGTAAGATTCATATATATGTGTTTTTCGTGACGCATATACTATTCTCTAGGGTAATACACGAGTAGAACATTTCGTAACGTTCGCATTCTACATGAATAATTTTCTTGGATGTCAGAAAAATAAAACAATCATATTATAGAATGAGAAAAAAAGTACAAGGTCCATTCTCTCTTAGACAAAATAAAGTACCTTATTCCTATTCATTTTTTAATCATCTAATACACTGTGTTAAAAAATCAAAATATACCACAAGATGCAGCGTAAAACAATCGACAATCTACAAAGAGCGCCTTATTTTATAATTGCACTTTTTATTTTCAAAATGGACAAAATTTTGTGCGACTAATTTTTGGCGCTGCGAAGAAGGTCATTTTTTGGTATACAAACAAATTTCTTCTTTTATTGTTTTGCTTAATGAGTTGTATTGAAAGTCATATTCGATGGTTAAACAATGAAATAAAGTTAAAAAGCATGATTCATTAATTGATAACATAAGAAAATGGTTCGCCGTGCACCAAAAAATTATTTCTTTCGAATTGTGAAAAAGTAATGGCTCAAAATTTTGTCCATTTTGAAAACAAAAAGTGCAATTATAAAATAAGGTGCTCTTTGTAGATTGTTTTACGCTGCATCTTGTAGTATATTTTGTTTCTTTTTAAACAGCGTATTAGATAATGAAAAAATGAATCGGAAAAAGGTACTTTTTTTGATCAGAGAAAGAGTATCACGAAAATTAGACATTTTTGTATATGTCGAAGAAATCTGAAATAATAAACCAGTGAGTCAGGCTTCATTTATATACGTGTAGTTTAACCAATGCTCTATCCGTGGATATGTAAATGAAGATATAATAATAAAGTATAGAGAAGAACGAGCTATTAAAAAAACGTACCTTTTTTTGTCCGTGAGAGATTACGTTCTATTAAACATGGTTTTTACCATACAATATAAACAGTAATACACGTATACTAATTTTCATTCCTGTGCTCGTGAAGTAAGTGCAGGTCGCATTAGCTTGAACCTGTTTTTTTTCCCCATAAATCATCATTTATTCTATGATAGTCAATTATTTTTGCTTTAGGTAGAGATATCGTTATCAGCAACTTGCTTAAATATTTTAGATAAAAGTATTCAAGTATTTAAACCAAAAATTTGATAATTCTAATTTATGACAATACAGAATTTAAATGCAGTTAGTGACGGTAATCATCGGTCTTGGATAGATCACTGTACTAGGCCAGATATGCACTTATAGAATAATGATGAAGATGGTAAAGGCATGATGAAACTATAGTGATCTTATATTCACCTCTTCTTTTTTTCGATCGAAGGACGGCTATGAGAAAAAAAAATAACTGAATTTTATAAAATATAATTAACCTGTGAGAACTAAATCTTTCTTGAATGAGAAGTTCGATTTCAAGAATTTCAACAAACCTTCTTTAGAATCAGATTCTAGACTCTGAAAAATTTTAGTCTATGTTTATTAAATTCAGCTAATTTCTTTAGATGACTTTCATCGTTCGATATCATATTGGGTTCACAAGGAGGTCTCTGTATGACTAGAAAAAGTTGACATAAGTTCGCTCTTATGAGTGTTCGAAGCCGAGTTATGGCCGCTGTATTGAATTTTCAACTCATCTAATAATGTATTTATTAGGTAGTTAGATAAGAGAATTTCGAACTGAGATTTTGTTCATAGATAGATTAAATGATGCTTAGAATATCGTGAAAGTTTCAGCCGAAAAGAATCTTTCTCTATCGAAGTAGTCAATTTCCAAAAAAGTTCTCTTGCAAGAGACATGTCACAAAAAACGAGTTTACTTGAAAATTACATATTCGATAAAAGAACATTCATTTCGACTGAAACTTTTAGGATATTCTGAGGGGTCATTAGAATTATTTATTTATGGATGAAAATTCAGGACAAAATTCCATTATTAAATTTTTCATTAAATACTTATAAACAGGTTAAAAATTCAGCCCAATGCCTATGACTCGGTTCTAATGGTCGTAGGGACGATCCCTTTTCGGTTTCTTTTCTATTCTTACTGGAACTTCCTTAGAGACACAATATGAGCTAAAAGAGCGGGTTACAATTATGATAGTGCCCTCATGAGATCAAAAAGAGAATACCAAACGATTTTAAGTATTGTTCTTCTTAGATTTTTTTACTAATAAAAGAAAATAATATTTATTATTAATTTATTTAGATCGCTTATTAACAACATCATGTAATAATAATAATAATAATACAAAAACTGTACTGGATAATTTATCCAATGAATCATCAACAAATAGTTCAGGTTTTCATTCAAAATCAACAACAACTATATTCAATAATGAATATAGTCCGAGATTACCTGAAACAGTTGAGTCGTCATTTTCAGGTATTAAAAAAAGGAAAAGAAAACAAGAATTTCCTAAGAAATGAAAAAGCACCAAAATCAAATTTCTCTTTTTACTTTAGGTATATATCCATTGTACAAATGCCAATATCAAATGAATGTGTGATGTAGTTTTTTTTCTTTTTTTTTGTCTTTTTCTTTTTTCTTTTTCTTTTTCTTTTTAATATAAAAATTGTTTATTTTTCAACTTAATTTTTTCTGTTTTGATGTTGTTGATGCTTGAACATATTCATGTTCGTCAACAAAATCCATTATAATTCTATCACGTATTATTTTAAATGTTGGATATGAACTATAAAAAATAATTAAATAACTAACTAATATTTGCTCCCAATGTCGACCAAAAATACTCCATATAATATGCAATATAATAACCGTCATAGATAAAAGAAATTGAACTGTTAGAAAATATGTTGGATCTCCAAATAATCGATAAAGAATTGAATGAGATTTTGATTGAGGATTAGCAGCATTACTTAAATGCTGTATAGCAATATAATATTGATTATTTGAAGATAATTTAACAACACTTCCACGTGTATATGAATTACATTCTGATGACCACTCATTAATTGTGTCTGTTCGAATATTTGATTGTTGACGCCATTGACCAAGATGTGTTGCTATACGATGAACAGTTGTTTGAAGTTTAACCGGAAATAAAAACGCACTATGAGTTACAAATGTACTTAATGTAAATATGAAAATTAACATTTTTAATGGTTGACTATCCATCGAGCGTACACGATTATCTAAAGTAAATTATTGTGTTTATTCAAAATTTTTCATAATTGAATTGCACGAAAACTACACTTCTTCTATAAAATTCTTTGAAAATTTAAGTATTGAATAATAAATTCGATTTTGAATTAATTATTTAACTTTAGCGAAAGAATTTTTAGTGATTTGATTACATGAAACATAAAATAATTCTATACTTTCATTGCAAATAGCCACATGTTTGTTTTATATAACTTAACCATGAGTTTTTATTTTTATTTGAATGAATAAAATTCTCAACTGTAACTAAAGTTCAGTTAAATCTAGAAAATTATAGAGTTCACGAATGAATTAAATAGAAATCGACTTTGTCTTAACAAACTTCGACCAAAAGAAAACGATCTTTACAAGTTTATATTTTTTCAATAGTGTTTTTAATCAATGTTCATTTATCTTCGAATTCAATTTAATTCATAAAATGAGATATTAAAGTATAAATATATTATGTTATTAAGTTATGTTCAGTCCACAAAACAAAATGAAAAATGATGTAGCTTATGTAAATCTTTCTCACGAAATTTAATACTTTACAAAATTAAAATGTTACTTCGCTCATTCATATAAATAGTTTCGAAAATCAATTGTCTATATCGACACAGAAGAAGTCATTCATGCATACATAAAAATAAACGAAAACGAATATTCTGTACATTCTATATTCTCTTAATGAAAACGAAAATTAGAATTTCTTTTTGAATAAAAGAAAATTACTTTATAATTTTGTGTCTAATTAACAATGAATTCTGTCTGACTTTAATTTTCTATAGGTCATATATCGTACATAGTCCATATCAAGGATTATATTTTTCCTTCATCAAACCGAATCTAAAAGATTAAAATTGTTACTGTACTTTTTTTTTCAGAAAAACTCAATATAGAATTAAACAATAATGCTATCTATATAATTAGATTTATATTGAAGTCGAAATTTTGAAGAGACCTGCTTGAATTACTTTTCATTTAAAGAAATAAATTCATTTCAAATACCTAATTAAATGACAAATATTTTAAATTTCAATTAAGAGTGTTACTGCTATAATACTTTTACGAAATAATTTACAAATATATAATTTAACACCCAAGTTTAAATTCCATATCCAAAATCTGAAAGCAAAAAAATAACTCTTTTAGTTTAATTTACCTGTCATTTTAATTGGAATTAAATCAAATAGAATAAATGAAGCAAATGTTCGGTAAAAATTTAAAATTATTCTTCGAGCAACGATTGGCCATAAATCATCGGCTTCTCTTCTAGCTTGCGCATAGAATGTTGAACATTCATGTATTTCAATTTTTTCTTCTATTACCGATGACCATCGAGACCATGAAATTAAATCTGATGATGATGCTGATGAACTAACAACAGGATTGATTTTTCGAGGTAGCATAGAAGTCGATGATCGATGAGAAGGTCGAGCTAATATACTTGTTGCTATTGAAGATGTCGATGATGACGATGTTGAATGACGTTGTTGTTTACGTGCTATTGTTGATTGTTTTGAGAGATTATCAGGTGATCGTTGAAATAAATTAGGTTTATCAAGAAATGTTAAAATAACTAAATGACCAAAAACTAAAATGAGAAATGTTAAAGTTAACTGATGAGTAATAAAAGTATGAAATAAAATCCAAGTTATAAATGCAATATAAATCAGAATTAACATTAGAATCAATAATTTATTTAAACGATTTCTTAATTTTTGATTTCGTTGTATTAAATATGGTAATTTTTTTCTTATTGTCCATATAAATGTAATTATTACTTCAAATGAACCAATAGCCACTAAACTCATATATATATAAATATTTATTAAATCTGTATTAATAGATTTTGTTGCTATTGAATAATAATTATTTGAAACAGTAATAAAATGAGTCTGTTCATCGTTTGTTTGTTCAAGTATTTTAGAAGAAAAAATTGTTTCTTTATGTGAGTCATTTGAACTAAGCCAAAAAGCTGCATGATATAATAGAATATAAATAGCATTTAAATGAATTAGATTTTGTAAAGCAGTATATAAACAATAAATAAGATGACCATCAAGTTTAATAGCTGGTATTTCTTGATGTAATCGACCAGTTACTTCCGTTTCAGTATCCGGTGCTAATTTTCCCATAATATTTGTCATTTTATTTAGTATAACTCGTTCACGCATTGAGTATATACTAACACGACCTGTTGTTGATGTAGAAGAGAAATTATTTGTTGTAGACATCGATGATGATAAACCATTAATACTACTTGTTGATTTTATATCACCCTGACTTCGACGATGATGCATTGCCTTGAGTTATTGGTTGTCTTTCTATAGATCCCACTTTATATTGAAATATGTGCATGTAAGTAAATGATGCACATGTGCAATGAAGCACAACAAAAAAAAAATCGAGAGAGAAAATAGAAAGAAGAAAGCAAAAGAAAAGAAAAAAATAAATCAAACGAAACATATTTTATTTATCATTGCTATGACAAATTATTACTATTACACACTGATCGAAACTAAAAAAATTATGATATAAATTATTAATTTTAGTTAATTGAATAGTTAGAGTATGCCATACTAAATAATTTTAGAAAAGTATCAGAAACAAATTGAATATGTTTGAGTTAATGAATAATATTATTGATAAAAATTACTTATAAAAATGACTTTTCTCTATCTTGCGTATTTATAATAAAAACTTACAATGTAAAAAGAATAATCTATCATATTGTGTAAAAAAGAAATGTTGATCCATTATGACTTGTTTTTTTGCTATGACTCATTCTTGATGTGCAAGGTTTGAGTGATAATTGTCAGGATATCATTTTTTTTTTGTTCAAACTGTATTGAATGAGAATACTTATTTATTATCTTGAGAAGTTTGTGACAAATACAAAAGGTTTTAACATCCTGCATCCTTGCAATGACATTCAAAAGTTAATATTCATATTTCTATAGTAACATTAGTATTAAGTATGTCTATTACTTCAAAGAGACAAATTATACTTCCGTTCTATCTTTTTTCACATTTTTATTTCGCTCTCCCACATATTCTTTCTTTTTTTTTAATCTTTTTATGTAAGTGTGTGCAAACATTACATTCTCTTTTTTGTGTGAGTTCTGCTGCTATCAAGCATCTTTGTAGTTATTTCATTGTTTTGTTTTGCAATATCTTTGTCTGCTACCTTTTATCAAGCCGACGACAGTCATAATTGAAAATTATTAAATATCTTTATTTAAAAGTGAAAAAATGGTAAGTCAATGTATCTAGAATTGTACCTAGCTCAGTCTTATGAGAGAATGTTTTCAAATGACCGATCGCTTATTGAATTCGGACTCTATGCATAAGGTAGACTACAGTGGATATGGAAAAACTATAAAGAATATATCCCTTTAGACCTTGTGTCCAATATTATAGGCATTTCACTAGAATTTTAGCCTATGATATGGTCAATAGCAGAAAATCCAATAATGATATTTGGGCCTGAGATTCCGTCCACAAATAGCTTTGTTAGTCAGGAGAATGTCCTGAAAATTTTCAGTTCTAAAGAATGTCTTCTCCCCAAGATATAAAAGTTCTAAAAATGACTCATATTCTATGAAATATGCTAGAATTCAGTTTTTTTTTGAGACTTTCATATCTCGGGAAGGAGACATTCTTTGAGCTGAAAATTCTCAGAACAGGCTACTGACAAATATATACGTCTGTTGACTAAATGTCGACTCAAAATAGCGTCATTCTAGTTCTTCGTATTTACTATACTAGAGACTAAAGTTCTAGTAAAATGTCTATAGCTCTGAACAGCAGGCCTAAGAAAATCTATCATTTGCAGGCTTCTCATATCTCACTGTAGTCTACCTTATACATAGAGTTCGAGTTCAAAAACGATTGGTTAGTTGAAAATTTTTTCTTGAAAATTTATAAAAATTCTTTTCTTTGATAGCTTTTCAGTCTGAGTTTTTATACCGGCCAAAGTCGTATGATTGTCGCTATTATGTTCTTGCTTTACACAAGCAAATTGTATTGCCAAGATTCAACAGACGGGCCTTCTTCTTCTAGTGAAAATTCTACTGACGCTGCCACGGCTATTACTATAACCGAGTCTCTGACTGGTGCTACCAATACTTCTATTGATGAATCTTCTACTATTCCTGTCGGCTCTTTTACTACTCCTGACGACTCTTTGACTACTCCTGACACCTCTTTTGCTACTACTACTGACGACTCTTATATTGCTACTAATGAGTCTCTTGCTAATACTACCGAAGCTCCTACAATATCTGCCACGTCTTCTACAACAATCGCTGCGTCGTCTACTACTACCATACCTTTTACTACAAGTATTGCAAGCCCTACTGTTTGTCCTCCCGATCAATTTCCATTCGCTGATACATGCATTACAGCAAGCCAGAATGGTGGTGTTGTAATTACCGCATTCATCTTAAGTATTCTGTCATTTATTGGCGTTATTGTAAGTAGCCAGTTTTTCTAAAAAAAAGCAATTGAAAATCGAAAGATCTTTAAATACACTAGGGAGCTGGTGCGTACTTGTTATTTCATCGCAAGTCTTCTTCAAGAAAAAAGCATCGCATGGTAATCGAAGGCGATGTTCCAAAATATGACATGACAGTATAGGATAAAAATTTTTCATTAATTATTATTATCTATAGTATTTCTTTTTTTTTTTGCTTAGAAAATTTCAAAAACAGCTGGTATCAACTGTATATATATATATATTGTCTATCTTATCAAATTTTTTCTATAGATAATGCACGCTCAGCTTCATCATCAAATAACCAACAACGAGATTCTCGTGATAAGTTCAAAAATAGAACACCAAATAATAATCAAACTACATCACATTCAACAGCAATAACTGATTTGAGTAAACCACAACAAACAAAAGTGTTAAATAAGCAATCTGCAACAAAACTAAAGCAGCGCGAACCACCATCTGATCTATCCAATGTAAATGAACAACGGAAACCAAAGTTAAAAGGACAATCTAAACCTACTGATCTTGATGAAGATTTTTTCTAAAACTTCTTGTAAAAGTTCACTCTTTGAACAATTTAAATATTTTCCTTATCAATAAATTATATCAAGATATACATCTATTGAATGAACATTCCTTCTCAATCTCAAGCCATCACATTTTTTTATAAAGAAAAAATCATGATATAAAATATTGATATAATGTAAAAAATGACAATTATAGGTACTCATAACTCCAATATGGTATTCATTTACATATAAATAATAACTTTACTCTTTCTAAAGATTTATAAAAGATTTTTAAGAAAAAGAAGTGAGTATAAAAAAGGAATGAGTCAACATATTATTTAACCTTTAACATGAATTTTGTGCTCTTTCTTTTGTTTGATCAACGTTTATGCGTCTCTTTGTTGGTAGAAAAGTCATGTCGTTTTGTTGATCAAAGATAAAGACATTGTCAAAAGAGAACATCATTTTTGTATTCTTCAACAAAAAATTCTTTGATAGTATGAAGTTTATGTACGATTGTTCGCAGTGATTCATCTAGTGAAAATTGCTTAAAATTGATGATTTTATTGTGATTTATGAGTTCGATTAATTCTGAAATGATATTACGATAAAGTCGTCCAAAAAGACAATTTCTTCTCGATTGTTATTGAAATTCGCCATTCATTAATAAATTATTACAACTCATAATTTATATATTACTCAAACACTCTCCGATAGTCGCATTGACTAACGATCGTAGGTGATGCAAACTAAAGTTTCTAGGAAAAGCTATACAATTTTTGTAAGCAGTTGATCATAAAAAGTATTCTTATTCAATTCTTTTTTTTTTCGATACAAATTCATTTAAAATAAGGATGTGAATGGGTGGGTGTAGAGAAGATAAATACCTGAGTGAATTACAACTTTTTGGTACAATTGACGTGAAAAACTGAAAGTGAACTTGAACAACTTTTGAGTTGTGAATTTTAATATACTCTATGCCTGTCTTAAGGTGCAAAAGTTTCCCAACACTTCATTGATTATTAAGAGAAATGCAAGTTGTGCAGTTTAGTTCTTGCTAAATTCATTAGTAATATTGGCTTTATTCATTGAAAAGTACAAGTCATTTTTCAGGTGTGTATGAAGGATAGAAAGTCAGAAAGAGATTACAATACACTTGAAGTTGCTTGTTACATTGCATTCAGTTAAAATATACTGAAAAATAATAGTTATAAAAGAGATGGACTGAAAATATTTACAAAAAATCGTTACTCTACATATTTTTTCCAAAAATGTCACTCTACATTTTTCTGTATAATGTAAATTTTTCCTGAATGAAACAAGATTCAGAGCTGAAATTTTTATCACTTATAGAACTTTTTGTTTTACATCTACTCTAAAAATTTGAGCTAACTCGAAGGACTCATTAAAGAGTTATAAAACAGCCAATTTTCAAATCGTCACTCTACAAAGTGAATATAATGAAATTTTTGCAGAAAGTCTTTTTATTTTTGTCCACAAACAAAACTGATAACACAAAGCTTTTGTAATCATTTTGTTACTCAAAGAGTTGTCTCTCTTTTCGTATGGTCTACGCATCGCCAGCTTTATCAACGACAGAGCTGTAATTACGTTTCCGTCACTCTACATAAAAACGCAAAGTGTCTGTCAAATAATGTGAACATTGGACGAAGGAGAAAACAAAATATAAAATTTAAATCGATAATATATTTCGGTAGAGCATCGAACGTTGTATAAAAGACCCTATTTAAATACTTTTCCTCTTGCATTTCTGTAGCCGAAAAATTTCTTTTTCTTCTCACATGTCAGCAAAAAGTAACATTTTTTTCTGATTTATTTTTCATAACTTAGCGATGGTATTAGCTACAGAGCTGAAATGTTGTGTGGCAGTAGAGCATCCGATAACCAATAGTATATGAAAAAATTATCTGAATCAGTTTAGAGAAACAATAGTTATTAGCCAAATACAGCTAAAACGCCCATTGTACCAAAAAGTTGCAATTCACTCACTTACAGTCACAACCTGAAGATAAGGACACTGATGTTGCATTATCGATTTCATCTGATATACTTGTTTCGTTTGTATCCACAATGGCCGTATTGTTACATGTACTACATTTTTCTTGTGATAGAGTTGCTGTCTTTTTTTTTTAAATAATAAGAAAATTTTCTTGCTTCAGACATTTAGCAAAGAAATTAGAGATTAATCACAAAGTGTAAAAGAACATAAAGCAAAGAAGGCTGATAAGCATCTTCTTTCTATCGTGAATAAAAACTCTGTTAGCATAATCTCTGTGGGATTAAAACGTGAATGATAATGTAGCTGTTTTTGTTAATCATATGGATATTGTTTTATTCTATCTATTTTTGAGACACATTTCTTCATCATCCTTTTACTTATCTTTCAGAAATGAAAATAAAGAGTTAGTTCATATATTATAACGAGACCCTATTGACATACAGTGTGTGTTTGTACATCAGCGTTGGTCAGTCTGTTGGCAGGTATAAACTTTTACCTCTATACTTCAATACTCCTTTTGAATCAAGTTTCATAAAAATAAAAGAATGGTCTTTGAGTTTGTCGAATCATATGAAATCAATTAATCAATCTTCAGCTTCTTTGTTAAAGACAGATTGCAGATAAATGTGACAAAAGTGTAGCGCTAACGATAGAATAAAATAAACTTCTAACACTGTGTATCAGTCTTTCCAGATTAGCCATCAGCATAGGAAGATATCAGAGGAAGCAGTTGTACTCTTTCGCTTCGCTGGTGTGCCACCTATGCTAGCAAGTATCATGAGTTTGACATGCGATAAATCTCATGCATATAGTAATGATGATCATGAAGTTTTTCAATCTATATTGAAGAAGTAAAATAAAATATTGCATAATATTTGTCAAAGACAATCGATACCAATTACAATACTGGTATTAAGAATAAGCTTGCCGAAAAATATAATAACAAGAGAACAACTCATAACTTTACTCACTGTTTAAACTTATGTTGAGTTCACAAAGAGGTCTTGATAAGACTAGAGAAAATCTAAAAGGATTCATTCTCATGGGCCATTGAAGTTAGGTTATGGTTGTTTCAGTAAATTTTCGAGCCATTTTTATGTATTTAGTGGAAAATCAAATAATGAAATTTTCATCTGCAGCTTTGCACATAAATATATCTCATGACTCTTGAAATATATTGAAAGTTTCAGTCGAAAAGAATGTTTCCTTGTCGAGATACAGAATTTTCAAGTGAACTCAATATTTGTGATATATTTATGACAAAAGACTATTGTTAGAAGTTTATTATCTTGAGAAAGAAAATTCTTTCGACTAAAACTTTCAATATATTCTACGAATCATAAGATCTATCTATAGGCCATATTTCAAGACGAAATTCCTTTATTTGATTTGTTTTGGTAAGTAACTAAATAAAAATGGCTCGAAAATCCAGTGAAACGACCATAACACAGCTCCAAAGGCGCATGGATAAGAACTCTTTTGGATTTTCTCTAGTCTTATTGAGCTTTCCTTGTAGGTTCAATATGAGCACAAACAGCGAATTATAGTTGTCGTAGTTCCCTTGACAGCGAAAATTCAGATGGAATTTTAAATATAAGCACCACTCACTGTACTGTTTAGTTTCTTATTGAGGATCATGAACTGGATGCTGAATCTTTTCTAAAATACTTTGATTTCTATTGATTCATAGAGAGTGTCGGTATAGATGGATGCGTGTTAAGATGTAATCGTGAGATTGCGTGTCTCCTTTTCAACTACTTATGACTACATTCTACGATCTAAATCGACTAATAAATAATTTAGGAAGCAAAGTTTATATTGATATATGGTTCACAAATGAAATGTTTAATTTTTATTAGAAACAAATATCAGCTTTCCTAGGATTCACATGATAGCAATGAATTTCTAACATCATTACAAATAAACTTTGAATATTTTTTTGAGTCAAAATAAATAAACAGTTTAATTAATTACTTTGTGTTATCGTTTTTTGAAGATCACGATAATTAATTAATCCCAATAAAAATTATTCATCGAATGACCAGAATCAAAACCTCACTCACATAATACTTCAACAAGTCTTAAGTTATACAGATGCTGTTAGGATATATCGGGTCATTAAGATAGAATGACTCTCTCAAGGGACACTTTCATTACGATGTCGTAATTCACTAGTAGGTCGATTAAAAATTTACGAAATGGCTTCATCAAATAGTTTGATGTTATACTTAGTAACATCGCTCAAAATTATAAAAATTTACCTTATATTCATGAGCAGTCAAATTTTTCAAAATAAAAAATAGCATCTAAAAATTTATGAGTTTTAAAAAATCTGCTGTATCTTCTAGCAGTAAGTTCTGAGCACTTTCTTTTTTTCTCTATGATCTATCAAATCACGAGAGTGTAGGAAAACATTGGCTTTTGCGTAAACAGTTTTATTATGTTTTTTATGAAAATTATTGTAATGTTTCTTGCAAGGAACATTCGGCTTTTAAGGGTTAAATTTTTAATTTAACAAAGAGTAAATTTGACATGACTTATATAAATGTGATCATATGCATCACTTTTGCACACCTATGTTAAATAATTTATGAATAAATAAAAGTGAAAGTTGAAACGACATCCTATTTGTTTTTCGTGATGAAAAAGAAACTACAAACATTTTTGAATATATCGTGACAATGCAGCTTATCTTATCTTAACCAAAAGTAGATTGCTGTTTTGTAAAATAATTTTACTCTTAATGTTTTTAAGTAGTCAATGAAACTTTGACTATTATAACAAAGAAAAAAAATGAGTAGTACTTGCACAGGTAAGTTAACTTGTTTTTATAGAATATTAATATTTGTTTGTAAAGACCCTCAAGATTTTCCTTTAATTGGCAACAGCTTATGTGTGGCTCCAACATCATTAACTGCTATATTTTTAGCAAGTATTATTACAGCTGGCGTCAGTTTCTTGATACTTATTGTAAGTAATTTATAAAATATTTTTAATCTTGTTAAAATATTATTTCTTTATGCTTAGGGCTTCTTGATATTCTTCTATAAGCGACGTTCATCTTCGCCTCATGCAAAATATTACAATGATGATAAATCACTTCGATCAGACACTAGTCATAATGATGAATCAATCCTATCAGACATTACTTATAGTGATGATGATGATGTTAGATTGAACCGATCTACTCCTAGAACAGATAGAAAAATATCACATGTCCTGAAAAAAAGTGAGTAATCTACTACTTCAACTGTTCAAAAATCGTCAGAAAAACTGAAGATTATTTTCAATAACATTAATGAACTATTTAAATCCACCATACCTCCTATCAAAAACTGCTTTCGTACCAAGTATATTGAAATCGCCTGAAGTTTTTAAGATATATGGAGCTATAGTGGAGACGATATGGTAAAATTTTCAGCTCTATATCCTCATGTTTGAGAGAGAGAGAGAGGTATTCATCAAGCGAAGATCAAAAATAGGTCATTTGGCAACCTAAAACTCTCTGTCGGTCTTTATTCTATATATTTAATTCTCTTTTTTTACTTGGAAACAACCATTTGTTTTTAAATTCTTACTTTCTATGTGAAAAAAACTAGTAGCAAGTTGAAGGTGTTAAAAAAACTTTCCAAAACATGGGATCTATGTATATAAGTCTTTGCATATATAATAAAAAACAAAGTGTTATTAAAAAAGTAAGGTACTCTGTCATATCCTGCATCTTGATATGCTATTGCAAACAAAAATAATGAAATATACAGAATGAAGAACCATAAAGAATTCTTGATTACATGATTGAAATAGTATAGATCAAAGAAAAATCGAACACCGTGTTTTGAATAGAGATTTTAACAGTTTTAGCAAAGAAGAAAGCACAGGTTTGGAATATTCAACACCTTTTGATACTGAAGATGCTGTGGTCCTGATAGATATTTAGAAATACACTGAAAATTAAGGTGATTGTTATTGAGTCATACTATTTGAATTGGATATTTTTCAATCAAGACAAGACTATTTTTCGAAAATAACGATGGTTGTATAAAACTTAACAAAAGATGTTCGGAGTCGATAAATCCAACTGTCTAATCCATTTTTCAAAATTCTTGAGTTCGAGTTTTTCGGTCAGTAGAAGCGTATTTTCTGTGGTTTACTTACGTTTGATAACACTGAGCTATTTGTTTGAAATAGGTTTTCTTTGACCGAAAAAATCGAACTTTAGAATTTCGAAAAACAGAGAAGAAATTCGGATTCCTTAATCTCAGCCATATTTAGCCAAGTTTTATTGAAAAAATAAATCGCTATTTTCGAAAAATAGCCTTTATATTGATTGAAAAAAATAAATTCAAATAGTTGATTCTAACACATAGCTATCACCTTAATCCTTGACTTTTAGGCACTTTTTTGGTAAATTTAATAAAAATAATGACTAACTGACATACATATAATGAGTATCACAATTATTGAACAAGATTTATTTTCGATTTTTTCCGCTACCGTCAGCGTTAGGAAGAATTCAAATAGAACAAATGGTTTTCAACAAGAATATAAGAAAATAAAAATTATTATTGGGCTATCACAAAGAAAGGAACTCCAGTAAATCAAAACCCTGGTTTTTTCAACACCTAAAATACGTAAGTATAATTTTGTTTAGACTACATAGAACAATAGAATAAACATTTCTCTACAAAAACAGATATCTCTCAGTTATTTGCAAAGGTTTTTGGCTGAGATACAGCAGTTGAATTGAAGGTCAAAAAATGCTTTCTTTTTCCATAAAAAATTTCAAAGAAAAATGACTTTAAGGACTTCCGTAAGAATGCCGTATCTGAGCCAGAAAACATCATAGAGAACTTGAAGTTATCTCATTTTGTAGACAATTATTTGCTCTATCATTTTATGTAACGTAAACAAAATTATATAATCTATTCTAGGTGCATGAAAAACTAGCCTTTTGATATTATGAAGTCCCTGTCTTGGCAAAAATCTAATAAATAATAACTTTTATTTTCTTATATTCTTGTTGGAAACCATTTTCTCTATTCGAGTAATTATTGGAATTATTTCTAACAATTACAGCAGCATAAAAAATAAAAAGTAAACCTTGTTGTTTAATTCTAGTACCCATTTTTTTTTTATATTGTATATAAATCAATTTCTTTTGTAGCTTGTTGAATTTCATTAAATAAATAGTTTTATTTTCTATAATATGAACATCGTCTATGTAATAACTACCGAGAAACTACCACTGGTATACGGAGTGGTATAATATGCGCAACATCGGCGGTTTAGTTTTTTTGTGTATCATGATGTATTGATAAAAAAGGATGAATCTGTTAAAACTGAGATAATTGAGTCATTTTCGATGCATGTTGATCATTTTAATGCGTATAAACCGTGTGCATTAGTCACAGAAGTTCAATAGGCCCAGGTTATGAGACACTAATTCTTATTATAGATGGCACAGCAAAAGCTTTTATTAGTCAAATATATTCTGAAACTGTTTTTCTTTTCGATTAATTTGAATTCATTCTGATAAAGAATTCAAATTTGGGTAGAAAACATTCTCTATATTGGTTTATATTTGGAACTGAAATTCGTAAACGCTACCGCCGGTAATATGAACAAACGTGCGACATTGGAGTACATTTGCTTGAAACGGTTCTACTAAATTCAATTGTAAGTTACCTTAGTCTGCTTTCTATTGAAAATTTTATTCATCACAAGCAATTCGCATCCTTATGAAAACTAAAACAGTAATTATGATTTATAGCCATCAGAGAGAATGAAAAAAAGGATTAAAAATAATGTAACAAATGGCAGATTGTTATGATATGTGTTTTACTCTTCTTTTCATTTTCTTATCGTCGTTGAATGAGTTTTTTTTACGAACTACGGTCACATTTATCAAAGTGCTTATTTTCAATGCAAGCAAACTGAAAATCTGGTATTTTTTTGTTTCTTTAAAAAATCTTACACTTTTTAAGGAGGAAATGACGAAAGTTCTTAAAAAATTTGCCAAAAAATGAGATGCCAATTAAAAAATTATGTTGTTTTTTCTGAAAGAACAGAACTCCAGTTATTTTTTCATTTACTTATCTGAATTTTTATATTTTTTGAGAGAATGACCTTAAAAATGAATTACTAAGAAGAAACCATTCAGTAATACAAATGATATAACTTTTGATAAAATATTTTTTCATAGTTATTGATACTAATCCTTCGAGCGATTCCATTCAAGCATCTATTCATCGTAATCTTACAATTCCAAAATCACAAGCATCATTATCTTCGTCATATAAATCCTATATAGGTTTACATCGTATATCAGAACCATCAATAGGAACGCAACGACAACAAACGGATGTCATTTCGACACAATCTAGTATTGATAAATCAACAATATCTAAAGCAAATAAATTAATTTCAACTATTCCAGATCAAACAGACAATACTAGTGAATATGAAAATATTGTTTCTTCTAGGTTTTGAATTGAAACTATTACTCTCAAAATCATTGTCTAATATTTCTCTTTTAAATTCGAAAATAAGAAACTTGTATTATAATCAAATATATTCTTTTTAATAACAGGTTTTTCTTCATTTTGATTATTAAAAAATATTTTCAGAGACACATAAAAAGAATTATACATTCGTTGCAAGTTTACTTTGACCAACTTTAGTCGTTACTTGATAAAATGCATTATAAAAAGGTTCATTTTGATCATGAGGATCATTCGAAATTTTCATATGTTGTCGTTTGTTTAAAAATCGATTATTTTTTATTGATCGTAATTGATTTTTATCAGGTATTGTTTCTAATGTAAAACCTTCCGTATCAGCAAAACGAACACGTTTTTTTTCTGTTATATAATCACTTGATTGACTACGTATTGTTGAACGTGTCAATGAATCACATTGTTGACTATGATTATCATCGATTTTATCAACATATTCTGATCGTCGATTATTATTTTTATCTGTATTTTGTGGTTGAAATATCATTGATAATGTAGATGAATTATCATCAGAAATAGAACCACTTGTTGTATCTCGATAATAATATTCGTTTTTACTATTGTTTGTTAGTGATGAAGTTGTTAAAGATGATGAAGCAGTACCAGAACGTCGATTTGATGAACCAAGTACAGTATAAACATTATCAAAACCTTGCATACTTGTTTCAAATAATGTACCAGTTCCTGAATTAACTAATCGTGATGACTTTGATGGAGGATTTAAACTTGATTGTTTTATACGTGCTAAGTAACTTGTTAATTTTGAAGCATTTATTTGGGTATATGTTTGATCAGTTGGTGTCAAGGAAAATGTTGTTTTAGGAGACATTCCATAATCAGAAACTGGTGTTGGAATTGGTCGACGTGATGGACTATGTGATTGTTGTCTTGATTTTTGCCGTTGAACTAATGGTTGTGCTTGCGTGTTTTCAGCTGACAATGAACGTTTAATTTTATTATTCGTATTCGATAATAATGGAGTTCTTCGATTATCAAGTACTTTGTCAGATGAATGTGAACGAATATTAGTCCATGGTTTTCTTTTCGAAATAGTTGATGTAATGGATGAGAGATTATCTTGATCATCATAATGTTTTAATATTGAGCGAGATAATCTATTTGATTCACCTTGATTATTTGTATTTATTAATGAATTAACAGGTAAATGACGTGTTTTAACAACACCATATTTATAATCATACGGATTTGAATTACTTCGTTGAATAAGGTTATATGAACATGTTGAAGGTGATCGTATAGGTGTTTGATAAAATTTTGATACAGGTAATTGTTGAGATTTTAATATAGATGTACGACGAAATTGTCGTTCTTCGGAACGTATACGTTCATATTCTTCAGTGGATACGTAAAATTTACGTCCTTGTCGATAAATAGGAACAGTATTTGATATCATATGAAAATTTTTTTGATGTATCTTCGAAAAATAAATAATCCATTTTTAAAAGAGAAAAAATAAAAAACAAGTCGATAAGAAGCTTACATACTACTTTTGTAGTAGTCTGAACAGCTGCTGATGTTTGTTGTTAATGATATTATAAATCCATTTATATTCAAAACATCTAGATAATTAAAAAGATGGAATTATATACTCAAGTATTTGAGTGTTAATTTTTTCTTTTTGAAATGTTGTTTTCGGATTTCTATTAAGAGGTTTTTTCTTCGTCGTTTGATACTTATGAGTAATGAGTTTATCGTATATACAAGCAACAAACAAAAAAACATTGTACATAGTATTATTGTTGTAGTCAAATCATTTTGTGCCTTCATTTCTCAAAAAAAGAAAGACGGCAGAAAAGAAGACGAAAACAGGACCGAAAAAAAGAAGTCGATTCGACGTTTGCCACTCTTTTATTTTGTTTTTTGAATGTTATTGACAGAATCAATTCATACTGCTTATAACCCATTAGCAGGTGACACTCGAATCGGTTTTTTTTATTATGTGTCTCACATTTTTCTTTTTACCAATACATAACATGCTTGTCTCACTAATGCCCAATTTATGGATGTGTAAAATAAAATAACCGATAGAGAAAAAAATGAGAACAGTGATTCTTACCATCAGCTAGTGCAACAATAGATCCAATGCTATCTTTTAGAGTTGCGTCATTGTTATTTATTTTTGTATAAGGACATATGTATACAATCACACGTTCATTCCAAAACTCTCTTTTGATTTTTTTTTCTTCTCATTCTGTTCTTTTTTTCCTCCCCTTCAACATAGTATGTGTAGCTGTAAAAAAAAGTAGTTTGTATATTTATAATTGTGATATACACTCATATGTTTGCACTGAAGAGGAGGTAAAGGATCAAGAGAAAGTATTCCTTTTTTTTTCACCTTTCTTTTCTTACACTAAGAGCACGATAGACAAAATTATGCAGTCTATGCATGTTTTGTCCTTGAAAGCTGCATTATGTTATAAACAAGGTGACATGTTTTCTATTTCTCTTCATATATTTCGTAACCAATTAATAATCGAACACTACATGTTGATATTTGTTGAAGTAATCAAATGAATTATTCTTCTTTTTTTATGTTCATTAAAATACTTTATTTAAAAAATAAAATCTCCTTCTATAAAAGCATAACAATGTCATAGATATCATAATTTAATTTCTGGATAATAGTGACATAACGACTTTCGCAAAGATGAAAGACATCCATCTTCAGAATACTGATATTGCATGCCCCAATATGGTAAAAACGGTTTTACTTGTGCTTTACATAAATCTTTTTCTATACCATCAGCACAGGTAAATTCACTCCTATGTACATATCCAAAATATCTAAGACGTGCAATATGATCTTTCGCAAGTAATTGAGTTAGAACTAATGTATGAATTGGTGCATCACCCCATCGATAACGATATATACCACCATTACGATCAACTGTATGAAGCCAAGCTCGTATCAATGAATGATCACGAAAAAGAGAAACATTAGCAATAGCAAAATTTGTAAAAATAATCGCAAGTGAATAGCCACCAAGCCAACCGGTTTGTGTTTGATGAAAAGCTTTTGAAGGTTTCAAACAATGATCATGAAGAAATTCATGGAAAAGTGACCATAATCCAGTAGCATAATGATCGGCTTCTTCATTAGCCATAACAAAAGCATATTGAATTTGTCGTTTTTGCATAATTTCAAATGGATCTTCGATAGGTTTTGGTCCAAATATATAAGAATGTGCATCAAGTCTCCAATAGTATGTGAATAATGTTAATAATGGATGATTTGGAAGCATCAGAGTAAAAAATCGACACATATCAGGATACTTAAGTGACCATAGATGATTACCAATGGGCTGAGGTCGAATTACATGATTAGAAAATCGGATACGTTCAAAACCTAATGGATTACGATCACCTAATGTCTTAGCTAAAGATTTTTGTAGATCATCAGCATCAAAATCACCTTCATGAAAAATAACAACAGGTCGAGGATTGTTTGATAATAAACGAGATAACTGAGTAAGTGATGTGTTAAGGGGATTGAGTTCACCCGTTGTAGTTAAATAGACAATAACACCAAGATATGATGTTGGAGCAATATTTAACCATTTAATACGCCATTCGACACTATTATTTTGTTTATTAGATGTTGTTCTCCAATGATACCATTCACCAGTAATACTATTTTGATATTGCCATTCATCTTGGCGATCAAAAATTTCATTATCTGGATTTTTAGGCAAACATATCGATAATTGTGTATGTTTAAAAATAAATTTAGTAGTTAACAAGCTGTATCCAATGATAAAGCATGAAAAGATGCATAAGAAACAACATCGTTTTTCGTTGTTGTGTTGTACACGTGCCATTATTTTAGTATATTCTCTACTAACAGCCTATTATGTGATAGAATAAATTAGAAAATTGGTCATCCACCTACGCCAAGGTTTTTTCTATCGTTTTCCTACAATTATAAAACAAAGAAAGCGACAGATCTTAAAAGAATTCATTGTATGAAAACATTTAATAATTTAGATACACAAATGTTGCCTTTTGATTTGGTTTGAGTATTTTTAGAATAAAAAATAAAATAAATTGAATGAATAACTTTTTCAGTCCTTATATAAATATTAGACATAGAACACATTTGTTCATGCGTGAAATGCATCCGTAATATAAAAGAGCAAAAAGAAATGTATTTGATATGATGTCGTTTTTCATATTAGATGTACGAAACGATATGTAACACCTTTTTTTTCGAAAAGTGTAATCGTGTCATCATCGAAGTTTTGTTGTCTTCATTCTGTGAAAATTTCAATTAAAGACAATCTGTTTTAGCTTGAATGTTTGATAAAGTTTGAAAATAGAGTAACTATTAATTATCTACATTTTGTTTGTCTACAAATTGAATATCAGTAATGTAGACGGCTGAATTAAATGATATTTTGGAGTAATTGTCATTCGCTGTACATATATTAACCACCATTTATCGTATTGTACTCCAGTATACGAATTGTGTTGAGTCATGTGGTGCCACGAAAACGATTTTTCGATTTCACGATCGATCTACCATATACTGGTTATAATCCTCGAGAATAATATGGTACTTACAGGCATTGTGGTGTATAGGAAACTTAAGAAAATTGTACTTGAAGACACAATTTGATAGAGTTATAGATTGATCTGTAATTTCCTACAATCAATAGTTTTCATTGTTACTTTTTTCATATTTAAAAATGCTCCTTTTTCTAAGGTGTACGTTATTTCGTGAGTATATGAGATTCCAGTGTGTTCATCTCTGTGCCACAGAATAAGTGAATACCAATGAAAAATTTTCTCTAAAAACGTACATTATCAAGCACTATTTGGTTCACACATAACAGCTTTCATAACAACAGAGATTCATTGTCAATCTTCAGAATTGTCCTCGAGAATAGTCTATTTTTCTATATGAAGGAGCCGATCAATTGGCAATATCTTGGCAGTACTGAACAGTGGCATTGACAGTTTTCATGTGTCAATAATCTGCGGAGTATCTCTGGTGAGCTGATATCAATAACTCTTCTATAAATGGAAAAAAACAATTTTTTGACCTCGAAAATCTTGGATAGGAGTACCAATATATTGTTCTAGGAAGGAGATCTGTTATTTTTATTATTTCTTTTTTAAGTGTTTGTTTCGAGCAACCAGATTTGAATTTTTTGAATTGAATTGCTACACATAGTTAAAATATTGTCAATAGATCGACTCCTTCATATAGGAAAATAGGCTATTCTTGAGAATAATCTTGCAAGTCAACAATTAATCTCTGCTGTCCTGAAAAATGTTATGATTGAAACATATAAAGGTCGATAATATGCAATTTTTCAGAAATTTTCACGTAAGTACTTACTTACTCTATGACACAGAGTTTAGCACTGGAATGCCACATTGTCAAGAAATAACGTAGACTTTAAAAATAGGAACATTTTCCGGTATTAAGAAAACAGCAATGAACACTAATGATTATAGAAACTCCAAGATCATCTACAACTCTATTGAATTATGTTTAAAAACAAACTTTGCGTAAGTTTGTTTTAGACGACAATGCCTATGAGTAGCATATATTTCTCGCAAAAACTATAATCAGTATATGAACATTTAACACATGAAAATTTTCACAAAAACTTCGCTTCTTACATACATTTTGATTCGCCAAAATTCGCTCTACAATCTCACATATATAATATCCTGGTTCAAGAGAAGTCACCCAGATCTGACAAGATGTTTAGAAGAGAGCAAAAAAAAATTGAATATTTGACGTTTATCGAAAGTTGACCTCCTTTTTAGAAAAAAATAAGTCGTTAGAAGAAAGCTGAAAATTTTCTTCTGAAAGATTATCCTAAAAAACAAATGAAACACATACTCTTGATCAGCTTGTTATGCTGTATCTAACCATATTCTATGCATGTTTTATGCTTGAAAGATACATAACGTTTTAAACAAGGCTATATATTCCCTATTTCTTTTCAGGTGTTTCGTAAGCAGTTCATAAGCAAGCTATACATGTCGATATTTGTTGAAGTAATCAAATGAATTATTCTTATTTTATTTTGTTCATTAGAAGATTTTATTAAAAAACAAAATTTTCTTCTATAAAAACCGTAACAATGACATACATATCATAGTTTTATTTCTGGATAATAGTGACATAATGGATTTCGAGAAGAAGGATAGCATCCATCTTGACAATGGTCATATTTACTGTCACGATCTATTAAAAACGGTTTTATTTGTGCTTTACATAAATCGTCTTCTATACCATCAGCACAAACATATTCATACCGATGCATATATCCAAAATATCTAAGACGTACAATATGATTTTTTGCAAGGAATTGAGTTAGAACTAATGTATGAATTGGTGCATCACCCCATCGATAACGATATATACCACCATTACGATCAACTGTATGAAGCCAAGCTCGTATCAATGAATGATCACGAAAAAGAGAAACATTAGCAATAGCAAAATTTGTAAAAATAATCGCAAGTGAANCTTTAATGTTGACTGCGAATGAAGCCGCTCCGTCCAAAAGAAAATGAAGAAATACCTTTGAAATAAAACTTAGTTTCGTAAAATATTAGATACTATTATCTTGTAAAAAATGCGTTTTTATTCGGATGAGAACATGTGGTATCAAATCTTAAAAGTTTTCTTAGTGTTCGATCCGATTCTATTGGCTCAACCGAAAAACTGCAAAGTGATTGCCAACATAACTCAGCACTTTTTTCGTCACTGGTATATCGTGCTATTTAAGGAAACCATCGGTATCCCACAGTATCCCGGCAATTTTAAAGTAAATGTATGATATGAATGCATATTGAAAGATGTCATTGATATATTAAGATAGAACTAACTGGACATGATACATTTTTTTTAAAGTACAGGTGTGATGATTCCACTACTGTTCATTAACATTAATAAGTTAAAACACAAAAGGCAGACACTCTGACACGGTCGACTCCTCAGTATTTCAGTGAAAGTAGATGTCAGTGCAATCAATGCTCCAATGACTTTGTATCTGTGACGTAATTGGCAGTATTTCGGTTTTCATATCAATGCTGCATACTTCTATGCACCCAACGCCCAGAAATAGGCATTTTTAAATAGGACTTAAGAGAAGCAATAACTTTTCCCTGTTTTGTTTGTCTTCTATTTATTTTACTTCTCTTGAAAGAAAAAATGAATAGTGTATGTTCCCATCTGTATAGCTCTGATAATGAACTAACGTGAATTTTATCTTGCATTGACAATAAACGTATCTGGATAAGCGTATAGACTGAAGCGAGAAGGTTATAAGCAGAAAGAGAAAAACTTGTCTCACACGCCTCTGTCTCTTTTTTCTCTACCAATATGCTTCGCAAAGTCTGTCAAAAATCGGTATGCTGTAAACACGCGCTCCCCAAAGCTATGAAGGATGTAGCATAGACATGAGGAGCGATGTGGAGCCGGTTTTTCCATCTCTACTTGTAAGACACATGTTTTGATCTAAAAGCATTCATCATACACAAGGACACCTAATTATGACACTCATAAACGTATATTGTTATCTTTTTCTTGCGTATCGATTCGTTATCCCAGCAATGATGTTGTCAACTATTAGAATAAACTAATTGCGCACATTCTAGATTTCAACTATTTCTTGCATAAAAGATAATAGTTGCACACAATTCTAATAGTTTATTTAAAACAGAAAATCACTCACATTACTTTAAATTATGCAAACTATTTTATTTTGTATGAAAATCATTTTCTTTTGGACGGAGCGGCTTCATTCGCAGTCAACATTAAAGTATTGTTATTCCTTTGTATTCTTAGTAAAATTCTCAGCGCGATCAATTGGATTGAATTGTATTCCTCTTTTCGTATATACTGATTACAAATATTCTTTTAATACTTTGTACCGTTGTGTCAGCACAAATCGTCTTTATTCTTCTAGACATATATCTACTGTTATATTTTTGCTATCATACTGCATACTAAAATTAACCATAACATGTTATAAATAAGAGTTGTAGTCATTTATTTTGAATTCAAGTCAACAAAATGATGAAGTAAAGAATCAACGAGTAATAATCCTGTCTACACTCTAAAAACAATTCGTTTTCTTGGAAACTCACCAAAATAGGTTTCCGAGCATTCGAAAACCCAAACAGGTTTCCGGACAATCTAAATGCGTTTCCCAACTGATCTCGGAAACCTATTTTGGTGGGCTTTCAAGAAAACGAATTGTTTTTAGGGTGTACGATCGAATGGAATAAAAAAGGCCGAAACTAAAAATGTCGAAATGAAAAAGGTCGAAATAAAAAAATGTCGAACAGTAGAAAGATCGAAATTGCTGAAAACGTCGAAGAAAAAAAAGATCGAAAAAAAAACATCGAAATGAAAAATGTCGAAAGATGAAAATATCGAACGATTATTTTGTCGAAAAAAAAATATCGAAAATATTAAAATAAATTTCTTTAGAATATTCAAATGTAAATTTCTTTATTACTGCATTGAAAATAAAATTTTTTTAAGTATCAGACTTAGATCATATAGTGAGCAGATAAAAAACTAAAGAAAAAAAATGATATGATAATGATGTACATGAGCTGTTAAAGTTTATTTGCTTTTAATGCTATATTTTCTGAATGTGGTAAATGATTGTGATTGCCGGTGACCTTTAATACAATATCTTGGATGTTAGTGTGCACGTAAACACCACATTCAGCTACTTGGCAAACCCAATATTTTTTTGTTTTAGTTTCTTTATTTTTTTTAAAGACGATACCATTTAAAACTAGTAAAGGCTTGCCTTTATTTGAAACAAGAAAATATGGATTATCATCAGTGATTGACATTTAGTAAATCAGAATTAAATCTATAAGAAAAGTCAAGTTATGCATGTTACAATATCAATTCTACGTATCACTCTTTGGTGTAATGAGGCTTATTATTCCTCGTATTATAATAGTCGCAACATATAGTGAACAATTACTAAGAATATCATAAGGTAATGCTACATACTAATAGAAAAGAATTCAACATTAAATTGTTTATTTACGCCATCTTTTAATTTTTCGACATTTTTATACGTTCGATATTTTTTCTTTCGATATTATCACCTTTCGGTCATTTTTTTTTCGATTTTTTTTCTTTCGGTATTTTTTTTTCGACTTTTTTCATTTCGATATTTTCTATTTCGACATTTTTTATTTCGACGTTTTTTTTTCGACCTTTTTAGTTTCGACCATTTTAGTTTCGGCCTTTTTTATGTATACCGTACGATCCGTATCCTTATCACTGTAAAAATAAATGTACATTGTCACGGGTAACATTTTAGTTCAGCGGCTTTTGTTAACAAAAAAAACTCTTATTTTTTAAATTTATGTCTTGAGGCATTTTTAAGGATATCTAACTGTTTCGGGGAAAAGTGTGAATTTTATTTTTTCCATCTTTTCATGAACGATCATACAGTAATGTATGTGAAAAATTATTTCGATAATCTTGAGTTTTGAATCAATTGAAATTTACGTGAGAGTTCGTAGCTTTAAATTTGTTTTTTGTCTAATTGAATATTTCATTTTCTTGTGTATTTATCTTGTAACATCGTTCCTCGGTTGTGTTAAAATGGCTGAAAAAGACCGATTAAGATCGAAAATTCCCCTAAAAATAGATTCGAATAAAATCATTTCAAAAAATTTAAAGCTACGAACTCTCACGCAAATTTCAAAAGAACGATCATGTTTCACTCAAATACAACTGTAGATATAGAAATACAAAAAAAGAAGAAAATCTTTTTAGAGTCACAATTCGTTTGGCTAATTAGTGTCTTATAACCAGGCCTCGTAGTCGTCCTATATTTCCTATATCTTTAGAAATAGTCCTATAATGTCCTCTTTTTTTAGGTATTTGTCCTATATTTCCTATATATTTCGAAAAAGTAAAGATTATTCTGAAGCGAATCATATTTCAGTCAGAAAAGATACACATTCTTCTGTATGTATTACCATTAGCTTCCACAATAAAAATGATAGCAGGTGGCGACAGTATAATATTATTTGATGGTAATGATAAGAGAAGTAAATTCATAAGTAAGGAGTGATCGAAAGTTACAGAAGTCTTAATGATAGTGAACTGCGATGCCAAAATTTTGGGACCTAAAACGCGACTCCTACTATGAAATTTCCCAAAACATTTCTCGTCTAATCCAAACAAAAAAATTTTAGACTGCAGCCCCGAATTTTTTTTTGCATTTTGGCGACATTGATATCATTTTGACGCGTAAAATTACTGCAAATGAATGATAAAACGAATCAGTAAATAGTGAACATCGTATATTAGTGTAGAATTCATTATTCTTGGTGATGGTTTTTCAGAAACCACAGAAACAAAATGACCAAAAACGTTTTCAGAAAAAAAGCGCTGTTTTGCTATTTGTAAGCGTGAATCTCTCTAATGTTATTAACTTTTCTTGAAACTTATTCATAATGGTAAAAATAGTAGATATAATTTTTCATTAGTCAAAATATCAATAAGGAAGTTACGGCTAGGCAGGAGTAAAAAATCCTGACTGTTTTACGGATATAACTCCGATACTGACTCCGAAAAAAAATTTTTCAGCCACTCCGTTGGAATTGTAATTGAATTTTGGAGTCCGGTGCAGTTCATTACTTAATTACTATTCAAAAGAAAAGAAAAGTTGCATTTGCTAAACAACTACAGCAACAAAACAAGAAACAAAAGACTGAAGTTGATTTAATCCTAGTATCAAGTGAAAGAGATTTTTTCCTGTCATTCATTTATATATTTGCAAATAATTATTTATGCAATTTTTAAATCTATTCAATGTCAATAATCACGAAGATAGATATAGGAGTGACATGGGCGAGGGTGAGGGCATGGTACCGCCTCTAACCTTTCAAAAAATGAGAACAACTTCCCATTCATTTTTGGGAAATTTCAGACGAACTTTTCTCCGTTTTCGAAAAAAATATTCTTGACCGAACAAATGAAATAAATTTACTTGAATTAATCACACTTCCATACACCAGTCATCTGTATTCGACNCGTTGTTGTGTTGTACACGTGCCATTATTTTAGTATATTCTCTACTAACAGTCTGTTATGTGATAGAATAAATTAGAAAATTGGTCATCCACCTACGCCAAGGTTTTTTCTATCGTTTTCCTACAATCATAAAACAAAGAAAGCGACAGATCTTAAAAGAATTCATTGTATGAAAACATTTAATAATTTAGATACACAAATGTTGACTTTTGATTTGGTTTAAGTGTTTTTAGAATAAAAGATAAAATAAATTGAACGAATAACCTTTTGAGTCCTTATATAGACATTAGACATAGAACACGTTCGTTCATGCGTGAAATGCATCCGTAATATGATAGGATAAAAATAAATGCATTTGATATGGTGTCGTTTGTTCAAATGAGACGTACACGAAACTATGTGTACTATCGTTTGTTTTTTTTTGGAAATTATAATTGAACCATCATCAAAGTCATGTTGTTTCGATGCTGTAAAAATTTCAATTAAAACAATTCTATTTTAACCTACGATTCAAAAGTATCCGTACAAATGTCAAAGCCTATTGTGTTCGAACAGAAAGTGCTAAAAGCCTAATTTCTTCACTGATGGATAGAGCACAGCTTGTGCTTTAAAATGCATATTGGGATTCTAATTGAAGGGTGTGGGTGTGGATATCAAATCTCAAGTTTTTTTCAAACATTGAAATTGCCTTGTTACCAAGGTAAAATTTGGAATCTTTTCATATCTTGGCTACATGTATTCGTTTGAATAGTTTGAAATGGATTTCACATTTTGAGCATTCATAGAGCTTTGATTGGAAAAATGCTTTGACTCAAACGGATGTAGCCCTCGTGGTTTATTAACAAGTTTCTAGTTAGATCGAAATTGACGCCAAGTTCTATTTTGTACGTATTTTATATTGTACCATTTATGAACTCCATGCAGCGACTTTTTATACTATATTTTACATATTCTTGTAGAGCTCGATGTACTGTATATTTTACATCACTTTGAAAGAATGTTATTCTTGTCCACCGTTAGAACTTTCGTGAAAATCGCAGAATCTACTGACTGTGCTTGTGACATTGATTGCTGGGCACTCTGAATACACAGAAAAACTGGAAACCGATTTTCAGAAAGCCTAGAGTCCGCAGACGTCTCTTGCCAAGTTTGAACCCATTATCTTATATTTTAGTCAACATAATGCAAGCTAAAACAAGAAAAAGGACGAAATAATTTACCTTTGTAACAAGTCAATTTCAGTGTTTGGAAAAAACTTGAGATTTGATGTCCAGATCCACACTCTTCAATTATAATCCCAATATGCGTTTTAAAGCACAAGCTGTGCTCTATCCATCAGTGAAGAAATTAGGCTTCTAGTACTTTCTGTTCGAACACAATAGGCTTTGACATTTGTACGGATACTTTTGCATCGGAGATTAGCTCGAATGTTTGAAAAAGTTTGAAAATAGAGTAACTATTAATTATTTACATTTTTTTTTGTCTACAAATTGAATGTCAGTAATGTAGACGGCTGAATTAAATGATACTTTGGAGTAATTGTCATTCGATGCACATATGCTAATCAGCATTTGTCGTACTGTATTTATTTCTCTTTACAATGAAAATATCATTGTCATGTGGAATAATATCATCTTTTTTTTTTGTCAAGATAAATCTCAGCTATCGGTTCATTGAAGAATTCATTATAATTGCTTATCAAATCGGTATGCACTAAATTTAGATCATTCAAATATGAACTTTTTTTTTCAAATAATAGTCTTATTGTTACTCAATAATGATGTTCAATGAATTAACATAATGTTGAAGCCATTGATTTTCATATCATATGAATCAAAATATACGATGTTCGTTGATTTCTCCATATTCACTATTTATCATTATTTCTTTCAGATTCAAATCATAATGAAAACTCATTTTCACTGATTGACAAGCTATAATTTATATATTCAGTCAGAAAAAAATAAATATCAGATAGGACATAATAAATGACTGCATCTTGTATTGCATATTATCCTTACCCGATATATTATATTAAAAGAATACATCAAATAGATGCAACGTGAGAACTTTACTCAATATATGCATCTTTTTTTTCGAAATGGATTAAATTCTGTTCGATCAATTTTTGAAGCAGTCAATGTGAAGGTTTTTGTTCTGTTAAAAGATCAATTCGCTCTTTTGTGTTATCAAAGTGTGATTACATTGAGTCAACGACTACCTTGTAGAAAAAAAAAACTACCATTTTCTCTTCTAACGAATTGAGTAATTCAATATTTTTTTTCTTTTCTCTATTATTTCGTTCTGCATGGACATAATCACGTTGTTTCTTAATCCTGCAATCTATTTTAATGACATAGTGAAAGAATGAAGATTTGCTTACTATCACAAAACTTTTGAAAAAGATTTCGTGACATTTCAAAGAGTATGACAGTATAACATTTGAAGAACTATGTTTTGAGGATGTGAATGTTGCATCCTTTTCACTTTTACATCTGTTGATGTTACTAATCGATATTTTTATGGTGCACAGAAACTCTTTAGATTAGATAAAAAAGAATAAATATTTTAAGAATATTGGAAATCATACAGTGTAGATACAAGAGGTTTGTTTCTAGTTATGAAGAAATCAATCTTTACAATGGCAATGTTTATTTTACATCGTTTATCAGAGTCGATAAAGTTTCTATCTGATGAGTTGAAAGGAAATTCATTTCTTTTATGTGAAATCTTTTTTTCATATAGGTATATAAACAAAAGTGTGTTTGTATTGATTTTGGTTCAGTGAAGAACATTGAATCAACACTCCGTGAATATTTAAATGATGTCAAAAATAAGAAATTATTTAAGAAGTTATATGATGAAGCAGTATTATTTGGAGAAACAATTGGTATGAATATGAATGAATCTATTGAAATCAGACGTCAAAATACAATTCCATCAAGAATTAGAGAGGGTTTTGTTATGATATTATCGTGCTATCGAAATTATTATACTAATGAAGAGAAATTTCGAACAAATATTTATTTTTCAATAATTGCTTAAAAATAAAACACTATCGAAGGCGTTTGATTTACTTAATGAATTACTAGAGAACGTTCTCAAAGATAAAGTTAACCAAAACATACGCTCGAAATTCTATGAGAGAAGAACAATCAAATGATTTTAGCATTTTGACTATTGAGAAAGAGTTCATAATTGACTTTGAGAAAGAAGTTAATGTTTTTGTAACTAAGCATTAAAATAGCATAATAATCTTGATGTGAACAAAAATTTTTTGATAAATAAAAATTTTAATTAGAAATTTATTACTTGTCGATTTATTCTTAAAACCTAAAGAATGTGTAAGTAAATAGAATTTCAAACAACAAGCAGTGACACCTGATCTTAAAAGCTCCTGATAAAAATTTGTACTAATTTAAATATATTTGAAAAAAAGACTGATAGAGAGCTCAGCTCCCCTAAATCCGAAATCTTGGCTCTACCACTAATCTGCGCTAAGAGTAAATAGGATTTTTATCTTTCCTTTGTTGATTTTCATATTTATGTACTTGAGTTCATTTTCATAAGCCTGTCTATCCAACTAATAAAACACAGTAATGATATATTGTTAATAGAAATTTAAAAAAAAAAAATCCCATTTCAAATAGGCGCATATTTTATTACGTCATAAATCGAGATTCAAACAAGATTTAAATTTGTTCCCTAGTCTATATTCATCTTCTTTGTTTTCCTCATGTTTGTTCCTCTTTCTATATTTACATTGAACAAATACTGCATACATTAAATAAATGTCACTATGAGACAATCCAATTTTCTATTCATTTAAGGAAACCGTTTGAAGTCATTACTCAATCACGACAATAAATCTTTCGTCGCTACTTTCACCAATTTTTTATTCATTATCGAGACAAGAAATCAACAATGTATATTGCAAATGTGCTATCATCTATGTAACTGATGTCAAGGGGAACAAGCGAGACTTCAGGACTCTGGTCAACGAATTTAATAACCGGATCGCT